GTGATCTAATTTAAAAATGGGCAAAGGATCTGAACAAGCATTTCTCCAAAGAAGAAATGCAAATGGACAAATAGGCACATGAAAACATGCTCAATGTCTTTAATTATCAGGGAAATGCAAATCAAAACCACTCCACACCTGTCAGGGTGGCCTTACTAAAGAAGAACAGATGATAACAAATGTTGGTGAGGATATGGAGAAGTTGGAATTCTCCTACCTTACTGGTGGGAATGTAAAACAGCCACTTTGGAAAACAGTCTTTAAGTTTTTCAAAAGGCTAACCAGAGTTACCATATGACCTAGCAATTCTACTTCTAGATATATATCCAAGAGAAATGAAAACGAATGACTGCACAACAACTTGTATATGAATGTTCAAAGAAGAATTATTCATAATAAACAAAAATGGAATCAATCCAAATGTCCATCAACTGATGGGTGGATAAACAAAATGTGATATTTCCATGCAATGGACTATTATTTGGCAATAAAAAGGAATGCAATACTAATGCATGCTATAATATGGATGAACCTCGAAAACATTGTAGTAAATGAAAGAAACTAGTCACAGAGGACTAGAAACTAATCACACGTGTTGCATGATTCTGTTTATATGAACTCTCTGGAATAGGCATATTCTATCATTTATAGATGCACAGCATAGATTAGTGTTTGCCCAGGGATCAGGCAATGGGGAAGTGGGGAGTGATTGTTAATGGTTGTGGGGTTTCCTTTTGGAGTTATGAATGTGTTCTAACATGGATTATAGTGTTGGTTGCACATCTCTGTGTGTATACTAAATATCATTCAATTGTATGATCAAATGGGTTAATTGTATGGTAAGTGAATTATACCTCAGTAAAACTAAAAGGATTCTGACAGCGTCTGCTTCCTCCCTCTTGAGCTCTGCATCTCAGTGTCTGGCTGCCTCACTGGAGAAAGAGGCTGTGCTGACTTAGAACCACAGGGCCAGACATCCAGCCCTAGCCACCATCTGCCTACAACTGCATGAGTGACCCCAAGCGAGAGTGATGGAGGAACTGCCCAGTCGAGCCCCAGGAGACCCATGGAATATAGAATTCAATGGTGGTTGTTTAAAGCCTGCACATTTTACCTAGCAAAACATAACTGGAGCAAGCAGTCAAATTCTTGCTTTAACACTATGACTACATATCACTCCTAAAATCTAACCCTGTGAAAGGCTTTGTCTTAGACAGAGGAACCTGAATAGGGACATTACTTCAATTTAAGGGGAAATGAAATAAGGAAGAGCTAAGCGTGGTGAGGTCATGTTTTAAATGACAAGCTGGACCAATCCAGGCAGGCCTGCCAACTGGTCTGTTTTCAAAGCTCACATTTGTAGCAGCAGCTAAATGACTTGTCCAGAGGCCACCAGCTGTAGAGGGCTGGAGCTATAGAGGGCTGGTAGGTCATCTCTCTGGTTCAAAGAAGTGACACAAGTAGACCTCCATCCTTTTGTCCTCCCCACACCCTGAAAGGAAAATCGCTGAGCTGGAAGGGACAGTGGTTCAAAACAGAGATAGAGGCCAGACGTCTGTGTTTGTCTTAAATGGAGAGTGTCAATAGGACAGAAACTCTTGATTCACTCATCTCCACACAGGGTCATCTTAAAGGGTCATTTTTAATATACTTTTGGATAATGATGTGCAGCAAGAGAGTACATAGAAATGAGTTTCATTTATTCGTTCAGCAAATACTTTTTGAGGACCCATTGTGATAGGAAACCAATTCTGAGCCACAGAGACAGGGACACTTGTCTCAAAAGGGTCCTGAGAAGGGCCTTGCCAGAAAGGAAGCAGGGGAGCCCTTAGAAGTGGCACATGGTCCAAGTTTGTGGGATCAGAAGTGACTTCTTAGAGAAAATAATGTCTAAAACCGGAAAACTCCTAAGATGCTAATTTTACTCTCTTTTCACTCCAAAACGCCTTATTTGAGGGTCAAAAGAAGTAAAGAAATGGTGGTGTTCCTATTTGGTCATGCATGTGGCCCTTCAGGTCTTCTTTGTAGATTCCCATCACCAATGTATGCTCCCAAGTCCAGCTCCATGTGGTTTTCTTCCATGCAGTTTATTTCCAGTACCTTCCAGCATTCATTCCTTGTCCCTTTAGTACTTTACGAGTGGTGTGACATGTCTCTTTTTGTGGATTTTCACATCTTTTTGCCATTGCCCATTGATATGAATGTTATCTCATCCTGTGAAACAAATCACCCCCAAACTAGTAGTTTAAAACAGCAATGATGCATTGTTTCTCCTCATTCGGTGGGTTGCATGGTGATTCCTCTACTGGCTTCATCAGGGCTCATTCATATGGTTGCTGGAGGGTCATTTGGGCTGGAAGGTCCAGGATAGCCTCATTCACACGTCCCAGAATTGGTGCTGGCTGCTACCTGAACGTCTCAGTTCTCCTTTTCTTCTTCTTCTTTTATTTTTTTTTTGAATTTTTATAAGCATTTATTTTAGTTTATTTGAGCCAAACGGCATGCTGGGAAGTAAGGTCTCAAATGCTCTGCAGCTCCTATCATACACTTGGAACTAAGGAGGGACTGTAAGGAAGATTACATAAAGCTGGGAGAAAGCAAGGTGGGGGGGGGATCTCTGATTGGATTACAGGACAGTTAATAAGATTATGTGCTCCCTTGAGGGTTCAGGTCACCTTGTTGCCTCCTGACCTCTAGGAGGTGAGACACACTTCCTTGCTTCCTTTCATGATGGTCTCAGCGTGGCATTCCAGGGGGGCAATGGCAGAAGTTGCAAGACCTCTTAAAGCTTTGCCTTGGAGTCACATAGTGTCACTTCTGCTAAATTTAGTTGGTCAGTGCAATTCACAAAGCCAGCCCAGGTTCAAGGGAAGGGGAAGTGGACTCAGCCTCTTGATGGGAGAAAAAGTAAAGCCACATTGGAAAGGAGCACGAGACGAGCTGATGGGGCTATCTGTGCACATCACGCCCTAGAGAGAATGTCTTCATGATTCTGGCATTTGTGTTGCTACATGTATGTGTAGCAGCTGTCCTTTCTATCTTCTAAGAAGGGCCTGGTCATTATTATATTAAATATAATTCTTTGCTCATACCAACTCAGCTATGACTAACCCTGGGAAACAGCCTAGTAGCTCTGTTAAGGATGGATTAAAACACGAAAAGGATTGACTTTGGAAAGGTCTGAATAAGATTTTTAAATGCATTCTGTTAAATGCCAAATAAGAACATTTTTAATGAGTTCTGTTATATTCTAATAGCTTTAGTAAGCATTCTTAATATAAAAGCATACTTTTATATACTTAGAACTTTTTTCTCCAAATATTTTTGATGATAACAGCAACCCAGGGAAGGAAGTAGAATAGACACTATTTTCTTCATTTCATGTGCGTTTGGGGACACTGAAGCAGTGAGAGGTTATGTTGATTAGTTTGTGGCAAAACTGTTGGGGTCTTATGCCCTTTCTGTGGCTTGCAAATAGTAACACAGGACCAGGTTTGGGGGAAGAACATGAGTTCAGTTTTGGACTTGTTGGCTTTGAGGTGTCTTTGAGATGCCCATGTGGATATAAAGGTCTGGAGTTAGGAATATAGGCCTGGTCGAGGGATACAAATTTGGAAATCTTTGGGGCATGGATGGTAATTGGGGCCATGATGATGAAAGAACTTGCCTGAGAGACGATGAAATGAGGAAAGAGGTATTTGGGGAACTGAATCTCAAGGAATTCCAGTCTTTAAAGTCCAGGGAGATGAGGAGGAGTCAACACAAAGTTAACTGAGAAAGGTAGGAACAGAGGGCTGGGAGGGAAACCAGTACAGCCATGTCCCCCTAGTTGAGGGGAGTGGTCAATAGCATTGAGTGGTCTTAATGTCAACCCAGATGGGGATCTACAAACTGCCCATCATATATAGATGCAAGGGAGCATGGTATTGGCCCCAGTGGGAGCTAGTTTGGAGGTATGGTGAGAGGAGCTAGAGGAGCTGACGGATGCTTGGGAAGGTAGGTGTGAGAAACAAGCTACACGGGAACAGGGAGATTGTAAAGGGGTGACTTAAGTGGTCTTAGTCAGTTTGGTCTCCTTTAACAAAAAATACCTGAGACTGGATGGCTTGAACAATAAACACTTATTTCTCACAGTCAGGCTGGAAAGTCCAAGATAAAGGTGCCAGCAGATCTGGTGTCCGGTGTGAGCTCTCTTCTTGGTTCATAGACAGTGTTTTTTTTTGTATCTTCACAGAGAGAGACAAAGGAGAAGCAAGCACCCTTACAAGAAGGGTGGTGATCTCATTATGGGGGCTCTACCGTCATGAAACAAGCATGTCCCAAAGACACCATCTCCAAACACCATCCCAGTGGGCATTAGCATTTTCACGTGTGAATTTTGGGAGGACACAAACTTTCAGTTCATAGAATTAGTCTTCTTAGTAGAGCAATAATTTGGGAAATGGAATAATGTCTTTGGAAAAGAAATAACTAGCCTTTTTAGAAAGGTAGAGCGGGGCTTGCTTAATATATTATAACTCCTTTTCAGGATGGTTAAACTGAATACAGTCTGCTAATGCCTGAGTTTTAGATTGTATTTTCAGTTTTTTTGGGGTTTTTTTTCTTCTAATTATCAGGAGAAAATGCATCGTGTTCACTTGTGAAGCAGATCCTTCTTTTAAAAATTACATCTGTGGAGGAAAGGATTCAAGATGGCGGAGTAGATAAACGCTGTGCTTGCCTCCTCCAGGGACCACATTAAAATTACAACTAAATTATAGAACAGTCAACCTGGAGAACCATCTGAAGTCTAGCTGGATGGAAGTTATATAACTAAGGATATAAAGAAGAAGCCACATCGAGACTGAAAAAAATAATTATATTTGTGGCAGCATGTGACAGACACATTTATCTGTCTCACAACGTTGCTGTGATGCTTCACAGAAGCCTGTGATGTAGGATTTCAAAGGAGTTTATTTCCTTTTGCGTAGGTTTATTTTGTGTCCCTCTCTTCCCCCCAGGCTGATGAGCCCTGAAAACACACTCTTGCAGCCCCGGGAAGAGGAGGGGGTCAAGTATGAGCGCACCTTCATGGCGTCTGAGTTCCTGGATTGGCTGGTTCAGGAAGGTGAGGCCACCACAAGGAAAGAGGCCGAGCAGCTTTGCCACCGGCTGATGGAGTATGGCATCATACAGCATGGTAAGTGGACGGGTCACCTTTGGCCGTGGTAACAAACAACCCTAAGTTGGCTTATAACAAGTATTTATTTCTCGCTCATGGGTCTGTAAGCCAACGGTGCCTCTGCTTGGGCTCAGCTTGGCTTGTCTCCAATCTGAGGGTTAAGTTCAGGTACATTTGCCATGCTGTCTCATTCTGGGACCCAGGCTAAAGGAGCATCCATTCTCTGCGATACACTGTTTTCACAAGTGAGAGCAGAAGTTAAGAGCGCAAGTTGATTCTTGCAGTATCTCCAACATCTTCTGTCCAGATACAATCTAACGTTACTACTCCCATATCCAACTGGCTACAGGAAGTCATCCGGTCAAGTCTGGATGGGAAGTAATGCCTCTCACAAAGTTGGTCGCAAGGGGAGAATGAAAACTTGTTGAACCGTACGTGGTACAAGCTGCTACAGTAAAAAACCAGTAACCCAAAAGGCCTTGATAAAACTTTCACTTTCCTTTTAGGGTTGAATCATTGTGATGCAATATAACCTATTGGTTAAGAACTGTATTTGTTATCTATTGCTGCTTAAGAAATTAACCCCCAAAACTTAATCGTGTAAAACAATAATAAGTGTTTACTATTATCTCACAGTTTCTGTGGGTTAGGAATTTGGGAGAGACTTACCTGGGTGGTTCCCACTTGAGGTCTTAATGAGGTTGTAGTCAAGATGTCAGCCGAGGCTCTAGTCATCTGAGGTCTTGACAGGCTGGAGGATTTACTTCCACAATGGCTCAGTTGTGTGCCTAACAAGTTGGTGCTGGCTGTTGGCAGGAAGCTTCAATCCATTGCTCTATGGATTTCTTCATAAGGCTGTTTGAGAATTCTCATGACATGGCAATCTGGCTTCTTCCAGAGGGAGTTGTCTAAGAGAGTGTAAGACAGAAGCCACGATGTCTTCTAACCGAGCCTTGGAAGTTACACACTGTCATTTCCTCAGTACTCTCTTGGTTACCAGTCAGCCCTACTCAGTGTGAGAGACGACTGTACAAGAGTGTGCATACCAGGAGGCCAGGATCACTGGAGCCATCTCGGAGGGTGACTGTCACAAGAACACAGGATCTGGAATCCCAGCCCCACCATGATTAGCTCCTCACCTTTTCTCATCTGTGAAATGGGGATACCTACATTGGGTGGTTACAGGAGTATATGGGATAGATATAAAAAACTTGGTTCAGTGTTTGGCTCTTGATAAGCGCTCAATCAATTTATTAATATAGCTGCAAGGTGTAGGCTTAGAACAGTGAGGAAAGGGCTGGGAACTGGATAGGTGTGGCAGAAGAAAGACGTCAAGATGAAAGGTAATACTTGAGTCATTCTTGCTGTGAACTCCTAAGCAGGCCGAAGGTTTCTATCCCAAGGCTACAAGGATAAAATGGAATTATAGAGATGAAGGAAACTTTTGAAATTATTTGGAGCAATTGCAACCCTTTCTGAAGTGGGTTGTGAAATACATATGGAGATCCATTTCCAGCATGAAATTTTTTTATTTTATTTTATTTATTTATTTTTTTTTTAGCTGAGCCATCCTGCCACCTGTAGGCAGCTCAGTGGCTGCTCAGCTTGGGCCGGGACTCGAACCGCTGTTGCTCAGAGCTCAAACTCTTGAGCGAGCTCTTAACCAACTGAGCCACTCAGCCGGCCCTGAAATTTTTTTTTAAAAAAGATGAGTCTAGAGGCTTACTACTCAGAGTGTGGTTTGTGGACCCAGAGTGTCACTGGGAGCCTGACAGAAATGCAGACACACTCAATCCCACCCAAGTCCTGCTGAATCAGATCTGCATTTTAGTGTCACCCCCAAGTGATATGAATGCCCATGAAAGTTTGAGATGCCCTGAACTAGACTGACCTAAAATAGAAAATATCTGAGCATATTTTATGTAGTAAGGTTAAGGTACTATCTTGCAAAACTTTGATTTCAGTTAGACTATGCACTATATAAGCATACGGGCTTATTCATGTGTATATCGACTTGCAACATAAAAACTGTTACTGTGTGTTCGGGTCAAGTATTTTGAAAGCTACTGATCTAGAGACATTGGTTAGAAAGGCACTGAAGGCACTCAGTGGTATCCTGGGGTGTTTTTTGTACGCGACATTGCTAAGGCTAAACTCACAACTGTTTAGACATATGGCCTAATATGTCTACTGCTGGTCCAAGTTCACTGAGGGTGGGAAGACGGATAGAAAAGTATAGTGCCAGTGTGGCCCCTGGCCTTAAACAGCTTATAGTCATATTGGGACTAGAAAATAGATATAGAAGCAAGGAGAGAACAATCCAAGATATACTGTCTATATTTTATTTATTTGTTTATTTATTTTACACCATGGGCTATACCGTTCCAATGACTTTACACACATTCATTTATTTAAACCTCTTGAACTCTTTGAGGCAGATATTCTTTTTGTTGTTGTTAAGTTTATTTTATTGTGGGAAGAGCACTGAACATGAGATCAACCCTCTTCACGAATTTTCAGATGGACAATATTAACTACAGGCAGGTATTCCTATTATCTCCATTTTACCGATAAGGACACTCAGACACCAGTAAGTTACATAATTTGTCTGAGGTCACCCAAGTAGGAACGTCCAAGTGACTATTACTGCTAATAAGTGTGAATTTATAGTTAGCTGGGGGTGACTGGGGCTTTCCACAGTGAAAAATGGCATGTTTGGGTAAAGAGTTAGCTCTGTCCTCATGGCTCCAGACAGAAAATTTGGTGACACCAAGTTCTAGGAGAAAACCAGACTCTTAAGCTACCTACAATTTACTGATCGGTATTATACATCTCACCTTCAGAGAGGATAGAGGATGCCATGAATTGTTTCCAAATGATTTGCCAAGAGTGAGTAATTATACTTTAATTACAGTGTAATTTTGTAATGCTATACAATTAAATGCCATAAAGTCACGATGTAAAGGGTAAAATACAGCATTATCCATAGCAAATCTTAACCACAGACGTTTGCTTTCAATAGTTTTAGGAGGATCAAATATGCTCTCTCCATAGAAGTCGGAGTTTCCGAGGTTAATTCCAGTTTCCCATCCTGGCAATTCATTGCTTAGTGTCTCAAGCAAAGCTCTGAGTTTTCCAGTTAATAATTAATTTTATAGCTTAAACATTTAAGAAAGCCAGTCTTTAGGGTTTGAGTAAAAGATTACTGGATAAAAGCGGTTCCCTAGATTGAAACTGGTAGAGTTTGAGGCCCACTTATGAAATCTTAACTAGCTTCCTGTATGAATGGTGAACGATGCTCTATAATTAAGACAAAACTTGTTAGATGAGTAATTAACTTATGTGCATATGTACGAGTATATGCATATTTATCGATATATTCATGCCTATAAGTGTATATGCACATATTTATGCATATGTATGTATGTTGACCATGTGTGTACATATTTCTCTCTCTATTTCGTTTATTGAGGTTTATTGTGTACCAGGCACTGGGCTAAATACTTTATAGAATTGACTATATTATATATTTAATATGTGCATGCTTCACATATATGACATGTACATATAATCTTATTAAACCCTTACAGCAATTTTATGACATTGGTATTATTATTATTATTATTCCAGTTTTACAGCGAATATACCTGAAGTGCAAAAGCCTTTAGGATATTTTCTCAAGGTCACATAACTAACCAATAGCTGAGTAGCATTATGCCTTAGAAAGTTTTCCTTGGCCCAGGATGTATGTAATCAGGTGTGGCTGCCTGGCACAGTGTAATGAACAGTCTTTGAAGGGAGACAGACAGGATTTAGGTCTCAGCTCTTTCACCTGCTGAGTGGCCAAGCCAACTTCTCACTAAGTTAAATCATTTTCATTCCTCAGGTTTTTAAATTTATGAAATTAGAATCACATTGTATACCTTTGAGAGTATTTTGTTTTGCTTTGTTTTGTTTTGTTTTTGGAGATCCTATCACCACCTACCTGTACTAGAAGGACTCAGCATATAGTTGAACTCGTGGCTAAGATGTATTAACAGTTAAAGGACATAGAGAAAGATCCACAGGGGGGAAGATACATCAGGTGCTACCTGGAGAATCCAGGTGCAGGCTTCCCCTCTTCTCCCTCCCAGGGCCACACAGAACCAGCTACCTCCTTCCGCAGGGCCATGACCACCAGCATTCCAGACTCTCAGAAGGAAAGCACGTGTTCTCCATAAATCACAGTGTTTGCACAAACAATCTAGGCAGGCTGGCGTAGCAGAATTCAATGCCCTAGGTGGGCAAAGTTGCCTTGTCAATTAGTAACTTAGGGACCCTTCCAAAAGCCAAGGTCTCAGATGCTAGCCATGGGGCCAGCCCCACCAGCAGGCCCTTTCGGTATCAGGGCTGCTATGGTAACTCTTTCCTGCATAGAGTTGCTGTGAGAATTAATAATAGTGATTGGCAAAGCTTTTAACACAACGTCTAACTCTTATGGCCCTCAAATGCCAGCTATCGTATGTGATCTGATCAACTCCAAATAATAGCAAAAATTTATAGAGCTTCTACTGTATACCAGTCACTGTTCTAAACACGCTACTCATTTACACATTTCTCTCAGTAACTCTGTGAGTTATATAGCACAATTATTCTCATTTTTAAAGATGAGGTTAAGTGACTTGCTGAAGACAAGAGCTGGTAAATGGTAGATTCAAGATTCAAATCAAAGCAATCTGGCTCTTAATCACTAAAGAAGATTGGATGCTAATTATAAGCTCCACTAGACTTAAAAAAACCCAAAACCCTCAACTTTTATTGCATCAGCTCACACAGCTTGGCAGATATTGCAGCTATAAAAAATTGTTAGCCCATACAGCTATACAAGATTCTTCCTGCAAACAATGACTAGGTACCTTGAGATTTTTGTATAACCATTGCAAATGTGAGCACAGTTGTTTTTTTGTTTTGTTTTTTTACTCACATAAACTATCTCCCTCAACTGCTTTCGCTGCTCTCCAGCTCTGTTGTCCTTAAAT